ACTGCAGGAATCACATTCAGCTGCTGGGGTGGGAGGCTCCTAGGAAAAAAAAATAAAATAGATCTTCTAAAAGGTTTCCTGTGGCCACATAAGCCTGAGAATCCATGCAAGGCGGGAAGTGTGGTGGCTGACCTATGGGCTCTGGTTAGATGATATTTGGGATATTTGCAGCTGGGAGGCCTCTCAGTTTGGAGGGAGGATGATGATCTATCAGCTCCCAGACAGTATTCCAAAGGTTGGACTTGTATTACCTTGATATTTTCACCCCAAGGCTGTTCTATAGCTCTCCCCTTTAAGGGGAAAGGGTATTTGTGTACAGGGTGTTCACCACGTTCTGGCTCTTTATGGGAATCAAGGTGCAATTTCCCGTAAGATCTTATTTTAAAGGAAGAATGAAAAGCAAAACTGAAAGCAGAGCCCAGTGGGAAAGGAGGTGCCCATGTGGTGCCCCAGCTCCCACAGTGGCTCTGGCATGGTTGTGCCTGGCCCAGGAGCAGAAACCTCTGGCAAAAACCTATGCCCATCAGCACCAGCCCCACTAAACAGGTGAGAACAGGGGAAAAAACAGAACTCCTGGGGTGCCCCTGCATGGGCAAAACTCCCCACTGAATGGTTTGGAGGCTTTTGCTGTTTAAACCACCCCTTGCACATGGGGTGTACTGCTTTTAGTGAGTCCCTCTCCTGCTGCCCCATTCCCTGAAGAGTTAAACCCTGATTTAGGCTTTTTCTGAGAAAATAGCTTTAGGCTTTTTCTGAGAAAATGAGAAAGAATTCTCACCCTGGATTTGAGACAAGTGACTCCAGGAGCTGTGCCACTGCCTCTCCCCTTCCTGCACCAGCCATGGCCAAGATGGGGTTAAAGCCAAAAGGGCAAGGAGCCCCAGTGGTCCCAGTGCAGGTAAAGGCCCTGCCCCACACAAGCATTTTAAAAGGTAAATGTTCTCTCTCTCTGTTCAAGAGAAGGGGATGAGCAGCAAAGCCTGCCTGCAGAACAGTAAAAAAAAATCCCTTTTGCAGGACTTGGAAAATGATTGGAGGAAAGCACAGATAAGAAATGTAGGTGAAATGGTGCTTGCCACATCCGCACAGCATGCCTGACCTTTGTATTCACTGTGGCTCCCAAATTTTCCTGACTGACACGATTCCATTAGCATTTATAGCATGATAATAGGAAAGAATTATTTTACTCAATCTACTCAATCTCATTATTCTTAAAAACAAACAAATAAACCAAAACAGAAACCCAAAACAAAACAAACAAACAAACCCCCCCCAAAAATAACAACCCAAGCAAGCAAGCAAGCCAAAAAAGCCTCCCCCTTTTTTTTTTTTTTTTTTCCCCAGAATTTTCTGTGCTTCATGCAGGACTGTCCTCCTGCCAGGCCAGAATACACACCCACTGGGGCCAAGGCACACCAGTCTGCAGCTCTCACCTGCATACACTGGCACTCTAAGGTTTTTTCCCCAGAGTTCACACCCTGACTACAAGTCCTCTTTATCCCCTGTATTTGCTATCACAGCAGTATGTGGTTTTTACTTCTCTTTTCATGGAAAAAACATATAGTTGTTTTTCCATTTTCTCAGTTTCCTTTCCTAACATTCAAATGGTATCACTTTGCTGCAATTAGATGGAATGGGTCTCTTCAATTTGCTGCTCCATTCCCTGATCTGGGTGAATTTTTCTCAGATGGGATCATGTGGGTGAACTGGGAGCAGCTTCATCTTGTAGGGTTGGGATCTGGAGATGCTTCTTAGGGTGAGAGAGTGCACCTTGCAGGTCACTGCCTCTCCAGCCACCCTGAGCACACCTTGCCAAAGCCAAGCCACAGGTGGGCTGGCTTAGGTGGCATCTGTTTATCAGCAGGGCATTTGGAGATGTGAAGTCTATCACAATATTTGAAAAGCTCGATAAAGGAACAGATGGCTTGATAGGAGATGATCTGACTAATGAAACGAGGGTTAACACTTCAACTGAGAAACAGTTTTAATTGTTTTTAATACAAGCCTTGGGGTGTGGAACAGGTCCAATGGCTGCTGCTGAGTGGTCCCTGGGTCCATTTTCCCCACTGCTCCTCTTTCTGTGTGGGCAGCCTTTCCTGCCAGGCCTCACTCCACCTTTGGAGCAGACAGGAGCAGGACAGGAGGAAAAGGTGGCAAATATATTTTCAGAAAACATGTATCTCCCAGAAATGAAAGCAAACTCACAGCAATTCCCTGTTTCATTTTCCTCATCTTTGTGTACCTTTTCCTCCCCCTAAAAAACCCAGTCCAGGATAACCACAGCCAGTCTTTAATGGTAATTTCACCCTGGGAAGGACAGCAACATGAGGCTGCTTTGCTTTGCAGGATGAGGGTTGTGGGAGAGGGGCTGCTCTTCCCATGGTGTCCCATGAAGAAATCATTGTAGGAAATGTCTCCAAGGACCCACATAACATCACCCCTTATGGCTGATGCCTCCCTGCATCTCTCCTGGCTCCTGCACTGGGTGGGCTCCAACACATGCTTGCTGTCCCCAGGCTGTGCCCTTTTTTCAAGCTGTGAGTTTTTAAATTTGTGATAGGTTTTTGGTGGGCCTGTCAGCATCATACGTTTCCCAGCACTCAGAGGGACACCATCTGCTCAAAAAGGAGCTGTGAACAAAATGTCTCAGACACTCAGAGTTTACCAAAAATGCAATTGCCTTAAAATCCCATATGGTGCATTGTTTCCCTTCCAGCATTGGCTGGCAGCAGAGGTGAAATGACTAAGGCAGTTTCTGATTAGTTGCTGCATTTTCCTTTCTGGCCAAAATCGCTGGGGCCCAGCACAGCCACTTCTCACCTGTTTGTCAGAAGGTTTTCTTCAGCCTCAGCTGCTGAAAGCCAGAGGGTACTGGCACTCAAAGACCTCCCCTCTATTACTTTTAAAGTGAGCTTCCTTGACTCTTGCTGTCCCAAGAAGCCTTGCAGGGAGGGATGTGGTTAATCTTGATATCTTAAGCATATTTTTTTCCAGGCACCCGATTTTTGGGCCTCTCTTGGTGACATGGAGGCAACAGCAGCTCCTTGCCTGAGGAAAGCCATGCCTGGAAGTCACTTGTGGCTCCTAAGTGTGGCAGTGCCATGGGGCAGTGTCAGGTGCATGCAGAGGGGAAACCTGGCCGAGATCTCTGGATTTTGTGGCGTTGCAAAAAAAGCAAATGCTGCAAGGAAACATTCACTAGTCCAGGATAACATAAGATTTGAAATACCAAAGCAGGAGGAATGTTATTTCAGCTCTAAAAATAGCCCCCTTGGCCTTTAAAACACCGAGAAGCGTACACAGCCTTTCTGTGGGAGCATCTGTCCCCTCCTTTGATGATGCAGCCACTTTGGGAAGGGCTCAGGGGACCTGCTGGTGCAGTGCTTGCTCTGAGGATCAGCACTCTGAGAGGGTTTCAGTCCCTGGGGATCAGAGACACGAAATCTCTTCAGAATGCTGCACGAGGGCCAAAGCTGCAGGGTGAAGGAGTGTTGCTTGCTAGAAGGGCAGCCTACGAAATACTGATAGAACTCAGCTCAGTTCTGGGGGCTGACACGGATTTAGGCATCTGTCTGTTTTGTGTTGGTTCATAAGTGATGGCACCAGGACAAAATTTTGACTAAGTGCTACCTAATTTGGATTTTAGGAAAACAAACAAGACAGTCGCTGAATAACATCAGTCATCTGACAGAGAGAGACGGAAGAGGAAAAAGAAGTGGTAGCATTCACATTGACTTAATCTCGTGAATATCAGACAGTGAAGCGACCCCTCCACCCCAGGAAACTGTCCCAAATAGTTATCACTGAGCTCTTTTGCTGGAAATGTTTCTTCCCAAAATTCCAACCACAGGGATACTTCAGAGATCACAAAGCCTACCACCCAGTAGGAAAGGGAAAAGGGGTGAAAGAGGCTCTTCCTGGTGTTAGGAAAAGTAATCCACAAACATCATTGGTTTATGTCCAAAAAGGAGACAGAGGAGTTCTTTCTGGCTTTATTCAAATAAAGAGAGAGGCCATGGGGCATTCCCCTGGGACCTCTTGAATTTTTGGAGGATGCAGCCTCCCTTTTTAACCTGATTTTCTGGCTGCATTTCCCTTCTCTCTTTCCCCATTGCCTGAGGTACTTGAGAGGTACAGACTTCCCTATACCAAAGATTTCCCTCTAATGTATAACCCTCCCTTTTAATTTTTAATTCTAATGGAGTTTAGGGGTTCTTCTTCCCCATTGTTTCTTTCATCTCTCAATGTCTAATTTCATTTATCAGCAAACCTGAAGTTTATTTGTAAAAGCAAACATCTTTTTCCATTCATCAATCAGCGGAATCCTTCCCATTGTTCCTTTTATCTCCCAGAGCTAGTTTTATCTACCAGCAGACCCACAGCTTGTTCGTAAAGACAAATCTGCTATTCCTCTCACTGGGGTCTCTTGCAGCTGAGTGGCTGCTCCCTTGAGGCCTTTCCAAACCCCAATCCAGAGGAGCAGCATTCCCGGGAGGGCTGCGAGGGTTTGTGAGGCGAGCCCTCCCCGGCACCTCGGAGGGCTCGGAGCAGAGGGGCTGCAGGCCGGGCAGGTGTTCCCGGCTCGGGAAGGGCAGGCACGGGGAGGAAGGCGGAGCAGGGACCCTTCGGCACGGCCGCACCGGGGGCAGCCCTCTGGAGGGGCAGGCACGGGGAGGAAGGCGGAGCAGGGACCCTTCGGCACGGCCGCACCGGGCACAGCCCGCAGGCAGCGGCTGCACACGGGCCCGAGGGGTGCCCTGAGGCCGGGGCGCTGCGGCCGCCTCCCCTCACCCCAGTCGCGGCGGTCACAGCGACACCCGGGCCCGCGCAGCTCCGAGCCCCCGGTGGCCGCGGCGGCCGCGGGCCCGCCCGTCCGGGGCGGGGCTGGGCGGGGCGGGGGCTCGGACCAGCCCGGCCGCGGAGCCGGAGCCGGAGCTGGAGCTGCCCGCAGGTGCGCAGGTAGGAGCCGCTGCCGGCAGCGCCAGCCACCCCTCCCGTGCCGCTGTGGCCCCGCCCTGTCGCGAATGGTGGCCGGCGCCCCGGGCGCGGTGCGGTGCCCCGGAGCCGCCGAGGTGCGAGCGGGGCAGGGCTGGGCGGGGGGCGCCGCGGGGGCTGCGGCAGAGCCGGGAGCGCCGCGCTGCCCGTCCTGCAGCGCCCTGGGTCACACGCGGGCCGGGTAAGGGGATTAGAGCCGCTCCAGCCAGGGCCCGGAGCAGCCGGCTGGGGAACGGCTCTCCCGGGTCATGGTGCCGGCATCCCGCCCGCCCGGGAATCCGGCCCTTCGCGCTGCGGGATGTGCTGGTGGCACAGCTCGGCGGGGTCTCGGCCAGGCTGCTGCATGGGGGTCTGTGAAGGAGCTCACCTGGGCTGAGGGTATGGGTGGGACAGGTCCTGCTTCCCCAGATCCTGTCAGGATGTCCTGTCAGGACGTGCGGGCTGTGTCCGGTTAAATTCCCTGGGGGGAATTGAAGGTGTCGAGAAAGGCCCTTCGGCTGTGCTGGGGCGCCTCAGGGAAGGAAGGACCAGATCCTCTCTCTGAGTGACAGAAAGATGCTGGGTGCCGATGTCCCAGGGGCGCTTGGGATCTCAGCCTTCGCTTTTAGTTAGCGCATCGTGCTTCTGCCAGACCTTTGATTCAGAGCCCTTAAGATGTAGAGGTTGCAGAAATGATGAGTTAACCTTTCTGCTTTTTTTGTTTGTTTGTTTGTTTTTTTGTTTTTTCTTTGTTTTGTGTTTTTTTTTTCCTTTTAAGCAAAGCTGCTTGTGAAAGTGACCCTAGGGGTTGTCTGATCAACATTCACGCAGTCCTCGTGGCGCGGCAGAGCACACATGCATGGTTAATTACGAATAGCTATTCAATATGGAGGAGGGCAGTGTGTGGAAGGTATATCCTGACACCCACTGCCTGTTGTGTCTTGCTCAAGCAGATGACAGTGCCTAAAAGAAGGGGGTTTGATTCTTGCCCACTTTCTGCCTTTGGGTAATGGGATGAAGACAAGGGAACTCCTATTTGCTTGACAAATGTCTTGCTTCTGATTTCACTGCTGAACTGTTTAAAGTCAATTTGTTTTCTTGTGGTTTATCCATGCCCAGCTGTCAGCATTTTCTGAACCTGGGTGCTGAAAGTGCAGTTGTTTCATTTCCCCTTTTAAGATTCTTTGTGCTGCAGTGTTTGCTTTTCAGATGCAGAGCAGGGATGTGTGCCTGTAAGAACATCAGTGTTTTCAATTGTTTTTTTCTTGGAAGAAGTGTCATGCCTGTGGTTCTCTCTCTTCCCCCAGCCATATCCGGGCAGCCCGAGATTGCAAGATTGCAGTTTGGTCCAGCAGAGAGACTTTAAGGTTCCAGTCCTGCAGACCAAGCTGAAGCAGTGAGCTGTGATTGCAGATTGGGAGCAAAGAAAGCTCTGTGAGAAAAGAAAAAGATGATCCTAGGCAGTATATTGGGAAGGATACACTGGGATAGAGGGTGGTGGCAGGTGAGGAGGCTGCTGCTGCAGTGGAAGGTTTGGACCAGGACTCTCTGAGTGCACGCACCTTTGTGCCACTGATTTCCAGTGTGATGTCTCAGGGAACAAATCACTGGCCTTGGTGTCTAAAATGGGAATAATTGTGGGCTTTTGCTGTCTCAAGAAGATTTGCAAAAGTCTCTCCTTACCTTAGGTCCCTGCAGGTTGCAGGAGAGGTCACCTGAGGTTCAGGGATGAGGACAGGATGAGAGTTGAAAAGGAAGAGAACATTGGGAACAGGTGAAGAGAGAAGGGCAGAGTGAATGGGAGGAGAGGAAAAGACTGATGCAGCTTCAGAAACCATGAAAGGGACTGTTCAAACAGCTGTAGGTTACCTCGCATGGGGCTTATTGCACATTTTTAGTGCTGAGCTTGCTGCTGGATGCTCCTGCCTGCCAGGGAGAGGTGTGGGCTGCCTCTCCCATGGGGAGCAAAGGGAAGGGAGCAAAAGCCTGGAGGATGTGGGCTGATCTGCTGCAGTGGTGGGGAGAGTGTCCAGCATCCTCCTTGCAATTTCCTGAGCTGGGGCAGGTCCAGGTACTTAGGGAGAGAACTTCTGCTCTTGCTGTATTATTTCTTGCTTCCAGTGGGGAACCACTGGTATTAATAGTGGTGACTGCCTAAACCAGAAGAGCCAGTGGCCCTTCAGTTTTGGCACCGCAGGGCTGCAGGAGTGGGTTTTGTCTGGCCAAGACACTGAGGATGGTCACAGCTTTGTCAGAGAGAGCCTCCCCAGTGTGGTCTTGGCTCTTAGAGGAGGTTTAATGTGCTCTCCTGCAGGAAAGTCTGTCTCTGAAAATATTTCAATAGATTTAAAAAGTAATAATCCCTCTGGATGCAGTGCAGAGGCTGCTCACACAGGCTTGGCCCCTGTTTGACAGCTGGAAGTTGTTCTCTTTTCCCCTCTGTCCCTTGTGTTTGCTTGAAGGGAAATGTTGTATGGCTTCCTACTGCAGCTCGCCCAAACACCCTACAAACTGCAATTTATGGTTGTAGCAGCTTGAGACGCTGGTAAACAAAGGAAATTAGTTTCTATAACTAAGGAATGCTGGCAGTGAAGTGGTGAACACCACAGGAATGCCTGTCTATGCTGCCTTACCTCCTACTTTGCCTCTCAGGGCAAATGATTTCCACAGGTCTCAACAGAGTCAAAAGACAATCCCTGTGCCAGAGAGGGCCACTTCAGTGGGGTGACAAGAGCCAAGTCATGGGTACTGCATGTCCATTCCTTGCACCTCACCCTCTGGGCCTCTTTGCTGCTCCTCTGGGGCTTTGGTGGTTAATACCTGAAGAAGAGGACCTCTTTCTGTGGAGGAGGAGTAAGTCCTCAGGCTGAAGAGGTTGGTGAGGGAAAACTGTCCTGAGAAACAGTGTGCTCTGCCACAGTTCCTAACAGGCCTTACGTGTTTCCCCAGGAAAACCTTTTACCAAAGGAAATGCAGCTCTGGGAACAGGGTACATCTCTCCAAAAGTGTAGAGCTGCAAAGTGCAGTGAAGAAAGGAGCTTGTGTGTCCAAAAGGTGACTAGGAGAGGAGTGAAAGGGATAAGAGAGATGAAAAACAGGGTAATCAGGTGGGCGAAGCCCTGCTTACATGAGAAGCTCTGTAGCTTGAATGTGTTTCTGTTTGATGGGGAAAAACCAGTGGCAGGGTAGAAAAAACAGAGGAACCTGGAATTTTTCTGGCCTTACAGGGTGTGTACTGTCTCATCCATAAACTCCAGGAGAAGGAGACAATATGATCAGGAATAACGTTCTGCCAAGTCTGTTCCCCTGGGCTTGTCTGTTTTTCCTTACCTTCAAAGCTATTTGTAAGGCAACACTTGAAGTTTCACCTCCCTGCTAAGTGTTCTTTGCCACGCCCAACACTTACATTGTTTTCCTGATAATGGGACAAACCTTTGGGGCAGATTTCCTTCCCCCTTCTGATGTAATGTGTGTCTTGGCTTTGCTTGCTGGTGCACTTTGGAAACCATTGAAGACATTTGTAATTTTTGGAACTGAGGAGCAAATAAAACACCTTGATCAGTTTATTAATACTCTGTCAAGACCTCTGTACGTTATGGGAGGAGAAGCACTCGATCTATTTGTTGCTGCTTCATTAGATTGGGGTGGTTGAGGTGGAGGACAATCACTGGACAGCTGTCTGCTCAGTGACTCTGACTTCCTGGGCTTTGCCATAGCATCAGCCTGCATTTCTGTATTGCTTGCAGAGCAAGGAGATGGTTTCCTCACAGCACAGCTGAAGCAGGGAGAGCTTTGCTGTCCTTTTTTTTTTTTTTGTGTTTTTTTGTTGTTGTTTTGTTTTGTTTGTTTGTTTTGTTTTGTTTTTTGTTTGGTTTTTTTTGGGTTTTTTTGGGGGGGTTTTTTTTTGGTTTTTGTTTTTGAGGAGATAGCCCTCCTCATTTTCCAGCAACTCTTTAGTTTGGGGCTTGGCTGGGACTTTGAGGTAAGTGCCCTTCTCACAAGCATCCCAAACCAAAGGGTTCTCAAGGGGAAGATATGCCCCTGTGGTCATGGTGGTGGTGGTGAGACTGTGAGTTTGGGCTGTGTTGAGTCTCTGCTAGAGGTTTCCCCTGTGTCTCAGAGGTCTGGTGAAAGTGGCTCCAGTCTTGTGTATTTCTGTATTAAGGAAACTCTGCTCTCTGACCACCCAGAGGCCACTCTGTCAGTCACACTCCCACCACCCCAGGCTGGGATAGAGGCCCTTTCACAGTGGGTGGTTCCATAAAGCTGATGTGTGCCTTGCTTGACTCCCCACACACCCCACATTTGCAGTCAAACAGGTTTTCCTCACTGGCTGGATCTCAGGATTCCCACAGCAGAGTCCAGAAGCGTGCATGGACCCTTTAAGGAATTTAATCATGGTGCAGTAACACCATAACAGCTTGAATTGATGCCTTCAGGGGGACTCCCTGCGCTGAGGAATCCCTGGCCTTTTATACCCTCCCAGTCTGTGTGCCCCTTCCAGTTGTGATATTTAGTCTGGGACCTTCTGACTGCTTATTTGGCTTCTGCAGAGTCTCTGGGTGACCAGCCACCCTTGTGCCACAGGTCTCCATGCCCTTTGCTGGGCTAAGGGTAGATGCCAGGTCATGGCCCCTTGCACATGGCTCCAGCCACCACCACAACCTGCAGCTCCCGCTGTGGCTGCTCACCAAGCTACTTGTATTCCTGAACATCTGCACTTGGGGAGAGTAAGGCATCAGCCCTGCACGCACTGGGAGGGCTCACTGGGAGCTGGTTGTCACCTGGCTTGTGCAGCCCCTGGGGTCAGGAGGAGCTGGGGTGGCTGTGCCTTGCAGTGAGTGTTCCCTAGCAGAATGGGATCCCTGGGGCTAGGAACACACAGCACCTGCACAGTGCAGCTCGCCCTGGCTGCTCCTGCCTGGTTTCAGTGCCTGCTGCCCCAGCTCCTCCTGTCTGAGCTGGATGTTTCCTCTACCTTACCCAGCTCCTCTCTCTGCCTCCTTTACCTGTTTGCAGGCTGAGGGTCACGACTGCCCAAGCCCTGCTCGTGGTATGAGTGGGACCTCATGGAAATTGCTGTGATCTGGCACAGGTCCATGGGTCAAAGCCTGCAGAACACCCTTTAGTCCCGTGGTGGCAAACCAGTTTAATTTTTCTTTTCTAGCACCCAGGAGTGTGGTCTGGAAGCGGGGTGTGCCTGGTTCCTGCAGCACCAAATGCGAGACAGGCAGCCACAGCCCACAGGAGTTGAGAGTCGGCGTCTCTGGCTGTAAACAGCAGCTCAGCACTGGTTGCTAAATGGCCTGTAAGTACTTACACCCATGTGGGACTGGGGGTGAAGGTTGTGGGGCAGCAAGAGGCACAAAACCAAGGGCACCTTCTGAAGTATGGTGGGATGCACTGGCCTCAGGGCCCAGCAGTGCTGCAGGAATATCTCTGGGTCAGACACTGTGGATATCAATATGTCCTTTACTGCCCCTGCTTTTTGTTTCATTCCTTTGTTGCACTTGGCCCATCTCTGATAGGTTTATGTTGGCCAGAGCATTTCATTAGCACACTGAATGCAGTGTATGAAATGAGACAAGAAACATGTACTGATGTTGCCATGGGTGAAAACATTGCCTCTCAACGTTGTTGCAGGATTCCTGAAGCATCTCTCCTGCTTCCCCCACACACAACCCAGAGATGTCTTTACCTTTTCCCATTCCTCTTGTATAAATGAAATGAAAATGGCATTTCTGCACATCTGTGAGATGGTAGGTGGGTACCTGGAGCAAGCAGAACGTCCTGCCCTGCTGACAGAGGGGATCACTTCTTTTCTTGTTTCCCCACCATTTTGTTATGTATTTACAAGCCTCTGTCACATCTTATCTCTCTCATTGTGCACTCACCCTGGAAACCTTGAGATAAACCTGAAAACGCCCTGCTTTATTATGTTGGCATTTGTGACTTGTGGGTGGTAGGTTATGTAATGTGCTGGTTTGTATCCACTCAGTTACAGTGATTAGCTATCAAGTGACTGGGGTTATTTTTGCTTTTAAAAGCAACAGAGATCTATAGTGGCCCCCCCCAAAAAGACAGAATGTGTTTGTTCCCCTTTGCTTGTTGCTGACTGGCAGCAATTCTTTATGACTTGCTCTGTGTTTTGAACAGTGTCCTCCTTCTCACAGAGCTCCTGCCTTTGTACCTATTCTCTGAAATAACCCAATGGCCTGGTGCTGTGAAATGCAGGAGTGCTGCTCTGGCTTATTATGCATTTCAAATGCATCTGCATGCTTTAGTCTTAAAAAAGATGTATGATTCTCTTAATGTGGTAATTTTGTCCTTCCTTACATTCATGTTCTCTGGTGAAAGGAACTTCAGGAGGAGCCTGTAACTTTGCTTGGCAGATGGAATTAAGATGTCCATATTAAATGAACCTCGAGCAAGCAGCAGTATATGTTTGGTGAGCTGCCTGCTGTAATTGAAGTGTGTACATTAGGGGAACGGAAGCTTAATTGGTTGAGGGTGTATAGCGGGGCAATGGTAAAAAAAGCAGAGCAAGCAGCTGACAGTCTAAGCAGATTTAGACATAAAAATGGAACTGGAGATGAGTAAGCTTGCATTGAGAGAAATTCTCAAGGCACACACCGGGGCAGTGCTAATGTGAAACTCTTTTCAGCTCTGCAGCCTGACTGAAATGGCAGCAGGAGCACACCTCAACAGGGGTTTTGCAGTGCTGGTGTGAGAGTGTGTGTCAGTAGGGACTGGAAAACCACATGAGAGCTTTGGAGAAGGTGGGCTGGGTCAGCTGTGATCACTGAAAATGTTTTGGTTGGTTTTGTGAATCCATTGCACCATGAGGGCTTTCTGTGCCTGCCTGTGCAAGCCTCAGTGATGGAGGACACATGGCTATGGGAAATGGCCAACTGCCTTTTGGATGCAGTGTGGTTATTTGGGAGAACATGGGCTGGCAGAGGTTGCTGTTGTTGCCAGCTGGAGTTGACTGCTCAGATCTGGCATCACTGGACATGGCAGCAATGCAGAACAGAGCTGTGGAGAGGAAGTTTGGCTTGATGTCATCCCTGTGGAGCAATTAACTGTCAAAGAGTTTGTTTCTACATTTCCCATAAAGAATTTTGGTACTTTTTCCTTTCACTCTTGGCACTTTACTTTGGCTAAACTAGTGTGGTGCTGCAGGAGAGGATGATGTTTGGGTTCCTTGTTCTCTTGTTCCTGTCTGCTTTCAGAAGTGCACAAAGGTCTCCCAGCTTGAACATACAAACACTGGGGACGTCCCTGAAGAGGACAAGGCTGACCCAAAGGCAGCTGCTGACAATGGTGTCTGCTGAACACTAGTGCAAAGCTAGGCAGGTTTGGCACATGTTCAGGGTTTCTCCTTTGGAAGAAGTTGGGATTACATGTGATTTTGTTCCTGGCACCTGAATAACACAGCAGGGAATAAGTGAGGAATGTGCAGGAGCTGAGCCATGTTTTTAAACATCCTTTCCCCACGTGGGGAGGCTGAAACATATCCAAGCCATGGCCAGCATTAAAAGGTGTTGCTGTTTGAGGACATGGAGGAAGAGGACCCTTCTTTCCTGTTTTTGGTATTTCATCTGTCAGATGCAGGTGGCTTCTTTCTTTTTAGCTGGCTGCAATTAGGGTCTCTGAGCTATGGAGCTGGCTTCCCATCAGGACACTGTGCTCTGCACTGGTTGCTCATTTAATATGCAATGATTTCAGGTGTCATTTTCTGTCAGTGGCTGATGGAAGGGGACTCAGTGTGGCACAGTGAATATTAAACAGAAGGCTGTTTTCCGAGGAGGTTGGTCTGTAGCCATGTTGCTCTGATTCTGAGGAGGTTGGGCACTAGCCTTGGCCTCGCTCCATTTTAGAGCTCAGCACAAAACAGTGGTTATCTCGACAGAATTCTCACATTTCCCCACTTGTGGTGTGGAGTCCATGTCCCTGTGTGCTGCCTCTCTGCTCTGCCTGGGGGAAAGCCCTTGCCAGCTCCCTCTGTGCACGACAGGCAATGCTGAAATAGCTTGTGAAGGCTGCTGCTTCCATGCTGGGAGGTGGAGGAGCTGCAGGAACCCAATATGAGGACAGGTCTTATGGCTACTGTTTGCTTTTATTGTGTAATGAAACTTCTGTGCTTTTCCAAAGGTGAAGGGTAAATAATAAGATGTGCCAGCCCCGATATGAAAGAATTGTGTTACCTTGGCTCAGTCCAGCCACCACCAGAGACCAGAGGAGAGTCAGGCACAGCGGTAATTACCTTGCAGGGCAGACAGGGGCTGGAACAGGAGGTGGTGTTGCCTGCCTGCTCCCTTCAGCCAAGGCAGGAGGGGGGAATCTGGCCCCAGTTATCAGTCTCCCTTGTGGGGGTGCTGGCACTTGGGCACTGTGCTGCCAGAGGCTGCCAGGGACACGGTTCTGTGGCAGGTGGGGCAGCTGCCACCTGGAAGTGGTCCTTGAGATTGCTGTCATGGGTCTCCCAGTGTCACAGCACCACCCAACACCAGCTAAGGAATGCTGCTGCAGTGCTGCTGAGGAAAAGGCAAGGGCAGCACTCCATGGAATAGCTGCAAGCACAACAGCGGGAGCTGTGCAGGTTACAGAAATGTGACATGCTGTGTCTCCTGTGCTGGAGGAGAGGAATAGAAGTGAGATGGGAAATCTAGTCCCTCTTGCTGATAATTTCTTCTGATCTGTTCGCTGTGCTAAAGAGCTGTATGCACACTGGAGCTGCTTTTAAATCAGCATGCTTAATACTTGCATCATTTCATGCTCCTTGTCTGCAGTTCTCTCTGCTCCTAGGTCAGAGAAGAGACCTTATCTGCCTGCTTTTAAGGTTTGGAATTCAGCCTTACTCCAGGCTGTCTGTACAAACAGCACCAAGACGTGGTCTCGTGGCTTTGTGCCAGTGAGGTGTGATCTGGGCACTGCCAGGGTGTTGTTTTGTACCCCTGCCATTTGCAGGGAGCACAAGATAGCTGACCTGTAGAGGTGAGAGTGCTGTGCCTTCTACAGAGTGTGGGGAGCCTCACTCCAGCTCTTCAGTCCCTGTCCCAGGGAGGCAGGGCAGGAGTTGGTGCCTGGGGCCCTGAGCAGTCCAGCCAGCATGTCCTTGGCAGCTTGGGGTGCCTTGGGGGAGCTGGGGGCTGCTGTGCCACGGGGAGGGTGCTGATTCTCTTCTGGGTCTTCAGAGCAGGGAGCAGACCATGGCTCTGTGCTGCAGATGTAGGAAGGCCAGGGGAGTTGAGAGGAGGAGGATGACAATGTGGGTCCTTTCTTCTGTAGGGCAGAGGGATGGGTCATGGCTTTAAGGACCTGGACGAGGTAATTGAGCTGCAATGCAAGCAGGCTTCAGTGAGAAGCTGTCATCTCTAAGCTGTCCTGGCACCCCAGCGTGCCTCATTTTCTCCCTCATGCCATGTATGTGGGTGCTGATGGGGAATGCCTGCCCCTGCAGCAGGGAGGGAGCAGAGCACAGGGGCACAGGCGCCGCTGCCCCGGTGGAAGTAAAGCTGGAGCTGTGAGCCTGCTGTTGTTCCCCCCTCTCTTTGTGTCTCTTGGCTGTGCTGCTGCCTGGAGGAACATTTATGGAGGAGGACAGAGCATGAGAAAATACTTGATCCATTATGAAAGGACTCTCATGGAGACGTAGGGCTCTCTGTGTCCTCAGCACAGCAGTGCTCCTGAATTGCACATATTACAGGGACAGCCCCGGCACTCCAGATGCTCGTCCAGCATGATCTTGCCTGGAGGACAAACGCTGTTCCTCGGGAGGCGCTGTCCGCAGCATCCTCACGCCACATGCAGGATTTCACCGTGCCTGCCTGTCAAGGGCTGATGCTGCTGGCAGCCTCATCCCGGCTCCCGACACTGGGAGCCGGCACTGGAGCTCGGCTCCGCTCTCCGTGTGGCCAGACACTATTTTTAGCTGCTTGCTGTGGCCAGGATGGGAGCTGGTCGTGCCCTTTGTGGAGATGACGCCAGCACGGGCATCCCTCTCTCTCCATGCTGCTGCTGAGGCAGTGTGTGGAATCGATAATGATCCCGGGTAGGAGGCTGCCTTGCCTTGTGCGTGTGGGAAGTAGCAGGGAATCAGAGCTGCAGGTCTTGTGGTCACCTCGCACAAAAGCCTTGAGAGAAGTGCTTTGAAAACCACTCAGATTCTGTAGGTGTGGTAGAGAAGTCTCCCGCCGCAGGGCTCAGTGCCTGGGTTGTTCCAAACCGCGTGGAGGATGCTGCCTGCGGGCACAGCTTAACCCCTTGTGGCCATGAGCAGCTCGGTACCTCGGCACTGCTGTGGGATGCCCTTGCTGCTCTCAGAAGAGGGGGCTGAGGAGGGTGGGTGCCTCAGCCCCCCTTTGTTACTTTGTTCTTTGTTTCTAGCAGGTATGGATGGGAAGAAATGCAGCGTGTGGATGTTTTTACCTCTTGTCTTCACCCTGTTTACATCAGCTGGATTATGGATAGTGTAAGTTATCTCCTGCTGGTTACTTGGGAGGCTGCTTCTCATTAAGGAGAATCTTTTGGGGATGCTCTGCCCTTGAGCTGCTGTGGGGCTGGGAAGGCACATGGTAGGGGCAGGGGCCAGTCTGTGCCACTTCATGGCTTGAAGCATCACATTTTTATCCCTGAGTTTCTGTGCTCCCCAGGCCAAGCTGCTGACCTCGCTTTCTTCCTGGTATGTGCTACTGGGAGCTGCCTTAAAAGAGACAGCCAAAAATGTAAAATTTTCCTTTAATGACATTTTCTTTGAATGACTCAGCAGAGCTCTTGGAGAAACACTGAAGCCCTGCTTTGGGGTAGAAATTCAAAATCTGCAGCATCCAGCACCACACTGAAAATCTGCCAGCAGCTTAATGCTGACACCTCACTTTCTCCCTCATACTTCTTACCAAAATGCACATAAGACATGCACTTCCCTGAGCTGGGCTCTCTCCAAGCATGCAGGCAGATGACTGCAGCATGAATTTGGGAGTGAAAAATGTGTGATCAGCAGCTGTGCTCAGGCTGAGGAGCAGTTGTGTTATAGGATGTGGCTTTGGCCATGGTCCGTGGATGCTGTTTTTCAGCAGCAGGGGCAGCTTAAGCCTTTTGTCTGACCTCTACTGCTTGCTGTTTTTCTCATCTCATCCCCTCTCTGTTAAAACAGCTTTTGTGGATGGAGTACCATAGTAAACCTGATGAATCAAAGTAAAAATGAAAACATTCCCTGGCTGGTTGTTTTTAAAGCAGCTCAGTTCAGTGACCCTGTTTGTCTACTCAACCATGCAAACCAGATGCAACACAAAGGAAAGCACATGGACTGAGAAATAATAAAACTGCCTGCTTGGGCAGAGGAAAACACAGGATCCTCCAGCAGATCCTGTCAGTGGGCTTCAAACACTTAATGTGTTGTTTGACTGATATTTAGAATGGAAGCTAGGATGAGGTTTTACACTATTTCCTTATTTCTTTTCCCTTTTTCTTGACAGGTACTTTATAGCAGTGGAAGATAACAAAATTCTCCCACTAAGTGTACCAGATAGGTAAGAGCTGTTTGTGGGCTTTATATTCAATTATTTGTTTCTTTGAAATAATGAAACAATAACAGCAAAATGGGAAAGAAAACCTTGAATCTTTATTCCTGTTCCTGTGTCTCTTAGGAAACCTGGTCCCAAAAGACCGCCTTATATAAGGTAAATGAATTATTTTCTTCCAAGTACTGCTCTGGTTCATGTGTCTCTGTTTATGTGTCTCTGCCATCCTGGAGTTACAATGATACACTTTATATTTTCAAGTATTGCAGGTGATGCACCTCCTGCAAGCTGTGTGTTTAGTCAAGTCATGAACATGGCAGCATTTCTAGGTAGGAACCACAACTGGAGTTTCTTTCTTTCTGTTTGTTTTGAGTCACTAAAACATAATTAATATCCTGTACATATTCTTCTTGAATGTGATGATGTGACACCTTTTGAACTGTATGTTTCACTGCTGCTTCTTTCTATTGCAAAGAAAGAAATGTGACAGGGGAAATGCAGCCTCCAGACTGCAAATCTGTGTCGTGGGAGGCGTGATGGTAGGTGACTGTCTTGGCCTTGGTGATCGTGAAATGGTTGAGTTTAGAACTTCTGCTGTAATGAGAAAAAAGGAATTTAGGGAATCAAAGCAGAATTGATCTTCTAAATTTCAAGAAAGCAAGCTTTAGGCTCTTCAGGGAGGTACTTAGCAGAATATCTCAGGAATCTGCTTTTGAGGGCTTAGGTGTCCATGAGTGCTGGTCAGTGTTTAAGAACCACCTTTTAGAAGGACAGGAGCAGGCAACCCAGCTGTGTGGGATTGTGCTCAAAGAGGGGGGCAGAAGCCCAGCTTGGCTTAAGAGGAGAAAGCCATTATGTGGTCTGTGAAAGAGAGGTTAAGCTTTGCAGGAAGATTGCAGAGCTGTGGTTTGTATATGCAGGGAGAAGACAGGAAAGGCCAAAGCTCAATTTGATTTAAAACTGGCCAGAGTTGTTTCAGACAACAAGAAGAGTATTTTAAGTATGTCAGTGGCAAAAGGAGGCCTAAAGAAAATGTTGGACAGATACTTGTTAAAGACTGTGACCTGACTAATAGGAATGAAGAAGAGGAGAAGGCATTCAATGCTTTTTCTTCCTCAGTCTTTAATAAAATGCAGATAGACCTTGGGTTCTCCAGTCCTCTGGGTTGAAGGACTACAAGTGTGAGACAATGACTGTCCATTTGTGAGCACTGGAATTGTCAGGGGCCAGATGTATCAGCTGAATGCCCACAAGTCCCTTGGTCCTGGATGGGATTCATCCCAGAATACTGAAGGAGGTAGTGGGTGTTAGGGCAGGACCCCTCTCTGTCATCTACCAAATGTCTTGGGATTCTGGGGAGGGCCCTGCTGACTGGAAGCCAGCCAGTGTTATTCCAACCTACAAGAAGGGCATGAAGAAACACTCTGAGACCTACAGAGCTGTTGGTCTAACCTCAGTTCCTGGAAAAATGATGGACAAGATGATGTGGACACATTTAAAGAATGATGCGATCACCAGGCACAGTCAGCATGGGCTCACAAAGGGAGAGTCCTGTTTAAGAAGTTCAGTATCCTTCCATGATAGGGCCACACACCTGGTGGATGAAGGGAAGGTGTTGGATGTAGCTTTTCTGGATTTTAATAAGGCTTTTGACACTGTCCCTCAGCAGCCTTCTGGAGAAGTTGTGCACCTGTGAGATGATCAGGTTCACAGTGCCCTGGGTGAAGAAGTGGCTGAAGGACAGGGCTCGCAGGGCTCTAGAGAAGCCCCATCTGGCTGCCATGCAGCCACCAGTGCTGTCCCTCAGGGCTCAGTTCTAGGGCCAGTTCTGCTGAATGAATGATGTGAAGGCACCATGAGCAAGTTTGCTGGTGATCCCAAACTGAGAGGTGCTGTTCACTCTCCTGGGAAACCAGGTGCCTTCCAGAGGGATCTAGTTAGCTGGAATATTGGGCAGTGATTAATGGGATGAAGTGAAGCAAGTCTAAATGCTGTATCCTGCACCTAGGACAGAGTAACACTGGGCTCAAGTATAAATGGGAAGAGGAAGCAGAAAGGGAGGTGTGGATCTCTTCCTCCTCAGATCCAGAGACAGGACATGGGAATGGTTCAAACTGCTCCAGGAGGAGTTTAGACTGAACATTAGGAAGCATTTATTTACTGAGAGAACTGTCAAACACTGGAATAGGATTCCTAGTGAGGTGGTTGATGCCCCAAGCCTGTAATGTTTAAGAAGTATCTGGACAATGCCCTCAGTAACCTGCTTTAACTTTTGGTCAGCTCTGAGTTGGTCAGGTAGCTGAATTTGATGATTGTTGTAGGCCCCTTCCAACAGAAAGAATCTATTCTGTTCTTATCTCTACTTTGTGGGTAAAGTCAGTCTTTCCTCTGCTGTATTTGTGTCCTTCTGAGAGCTGCTTTTAGCTTGTATTTCTGACCACCTTAGTTCTGCCAAAGCTAAAGGAGAGGAAAAATACAGAACCATGCTAGAAGTATGGGAATTACTGAAATTGAAAATACCATTGTTTTGCTGGGAATGCTTGTTAATCCCTTTTTGTCATTCCCATCAGGTTTTAGAAAAAGATCACATCATTTCAGGAGTCTGTATTGCAGATACAGAAATTAAAAAGTTCTTGTACATGTGCTTGAGTAGTCACAGGTGGCTGTCCCAAACAACTGCCTGGGGATAGAAAATATAAATCCTCTTTTTGGGGTGGAACAAAGTTCTCATTTTTAAGGATTTGGAGTGGATTGATTCACTACAGTAATTGTGAGAGAGTAAATTCAACTGTTTTTGCAGTTTGGGTAATTTTCACTTACCATACCCTTATTTTCCTAATCCATGTTTTCAGTATTATACCAGGGATAATATATTTTCGATATTGTACCAGCACTTTTGTGGAAAGTGCAGATCTAATTTGCTAAGGTGAACCATTTACAATAATATGAGCTACTTGCTATTGATTTGAGCATGAGCATAAGAAGGTGTTTGCCAGCAAGCAAGCAAATTTTCCTGTTCAACTAAATTGGTTTTTAGTGGTCTGGCTTGAATCACATCTGAAAGCCAACTGATTGCCTGGCTTCTGTGTTGTTCCATGCACCATTCACTAGGGAGGGCAAGAATACATAATTTGAGTATCTTCTGGGGTTGTGCCATATCATATGATGTATGAAATGTCATATCTATCATGTATCATATACCACAGTGCTTGGGGGAATTGTAATAAATGTTATTCCAGTCTTCATGGAAAGTTAATGCAACATTTTGGCTCATGTTTGTGGCAACAGAACTTGTTCCAGAGGAGGAGAAAAGGCAGTGGATGTTATGGCAAACCCTGAATAGAAATATGTATGGCAAACCCATATAGAAATATGTATTTGCCATTCACATGCTTTTAAATACAAGTGGGGTTTGACATCTGTCCTCCAGCTGGGCTCAGCACTTGTGAGTGGAGTGAAGCAATGCAAGTCCAGGTGCCACTAAGTGAATGCATGGTGTGCATGTGATGGACTGTGTGCTGGGAGCTTCACAGGCAAGCAGGAAGGTGTTCTTTCCCCCAGAAAATTTGCAGACAAAGCATAATGAGAAAAGGAAGCCTGGATCTTGCTGTAGCTGGATTACAAGAGAAATGCTTCCTGTGCTTAATCTTGTCCCCAGTTAAGTAGGAGGGCGCTGTACAGAAGCACAAATCTTGCCAGCCTGCAGGTAGAAAGAGGAGGAGGGGGCTGTGAGGCCTCAGGCAGGTGTTTGCTGCAGCAGTTCTCCCTACTGATGTCCCTTGCCTTGTGTTTCCTTCCCAGCGCTTGTTGTGGCTGTCCTGCGCTTCATCCAGCTGAAGCCCAAGGTGCTCACCCCGTGGCTGAACATCAGTGGCTTGGTGGCTCTGTGCTTGGCCTCTTTTGGGATGACCCTGCTCGGCAACTTTCAGGTACTGCTCTGCAGGCTTGGACTGCTCTGTCTGTGATGTGACTGCCCTGCTTTCCTAGCGGCTCTGCTCGGGTCTTTGAGCCAGCTGTGATGTGAGTCTGGGAAAAGCACCAGTCTGGGGCATTCACATTCTCTGAAAAAATCCCTTCACCCAGGATTTCTCTCCTGGGAAGCTGAGAAGCCTCAGAGAAAAGGAAAACAATTCTTATCTCATTTGCTTCTCCTGTGTTGTGCTCACATGTGGGATGTGTTTGCAGATTGCTTACCCACAGGTGATTGTTCCATTGGATTCTGGTGTGAGCTGTTTGACTCTTTGGCCAATCAGTGCCAAGCTGTGTCGGGACTCTGGAAAGAGTCACGAGTTTTCATTATTATCCTTTTAGCATCCAGTAAGTATCCTCTCTGTATTCTTTAGTATAGTATAGTATAGTATAGTATAGTATAGTATACTATACTATACTATACTAAATATAATATAGTGAATAATATATATAATATAGTATTATCAAGTAATATAATATAGTATTATAAAGTAATCAATTAGCCTTCTGAGAACATGGAGTCAGATGCATAGTTCCTGCCTTTGTTGGGGCAGTTCCCAGCTAATACAATACCTGCCCTCCCTTTACCTGCTCTGCCACCTCTATCTGTCACTTGTGAGCTGAGATGAAGGGCCACAATCACTTTTCCAGCAGGGTTTGCACCTGCATGCTTAGACCTGACCTGCTGAGCCTCCTGAATCTCTTGAGCCCTGCGAGTCGGCACAGATGGCCCTGGGTGAAAGGGCTGAGTGGGAAGTTTGCGGACACATGTGTGCAAACAGATGCACAAATGCCCGTACAAATTTAGCAGACAGCTCAATGTCCTTCTTTTCAAACATATGTTGCTTTAAATCCACCTCCTGCTGATCCTCAGACCTGCCAGGAGAGGGACACAGCAGAGGAGGGCCAGGACTTCTCTGGGTGTGGTGGGTGTGTGAGTGAGGGCCCTCCCATTCCCCCTCTGTCGTGCAACGCTGTAGCAACAAACATCTGCCACATCTGTAGGGATGGGTGTCCCCTGTGATCACCATTGTGTCTGTCAGGGCTGCATGAAAATCGAGGTGTTAGAGTCAGTGGGGCTTGGGTTTGACTCTGAGGCTCTGTCTCTCACTGGGGTGCACATAATGACCCCCAGTAATGGCAGGAACTGAGAAAGGCCAGTGCAGGCTGGCTGCTTCCCAATACAGAAATGGTACTTGTTTTGTGAAGGGTGAGGAGGATCTCTTTGGATTGTACAGTTATTGAAGGAACTTGGTGTCCTTTACAGTTGACTTTGGTTTTTCTTTTTGAATGAGGTATGAGATAATTTGACTTTTATGGACTTGGTCTTCCTAACTCCACAGCACAAACCCAAAACCCAGGGTCTTGTTTTTTCACAAGAGCTTTCCAGCTAGGAATTATGAAGCCTTTGTAACAGTTTTGTCTACCTCTGAGAAGAGTATTTCTAGTACAGGCACTAGGAAATGGTTTCAATTTCACTTTCCATTTTTCAGTCTTCAGAGCAAATAATTGTAATTTAACAGTAGATGCTTTGAATCTTGCCTGGCTACAAATTCTGATTATTCTGATATCTGATTCTAACTATCCATTCCATGTTAGTTACCTAGATCTTTTGCCAAACATGAAAACATGCTGCAATGAGACCTTAATCTATGCCTCTCCCTGCCTGACTGCTGAGCCAAATGTGGCATTAAATCATATTTCTGGAAAGTTATGCATTGGGTGTTTTAGAGGGACGTTATAGCTGTGCATCCCTTGCAGTGCTGACTATCTTGGGAAAGGCAGCTCAATCCCATTTTTGCCTGAATGATTCTTTGGATCTACTCTTGAAAGAAATTCAGAGTAGAGAGGAGGGGAGATATCAGTGGAGGCACAGCAGCTAGATTATTGTCCTGTAGATTGTGTCTTGTTTGATGGATATTTGTTAAATCATCAAACAGGAATTAAGGCTTCAGGGAGAAGTTACAGGCTGGTGGTTTCTTTTCTAGAAAAGCCTCAGAGGCAGAGGGAAAATGGAAATTGTTTGGCTTAAGTCCATGCTGGACTTTTGGAATGGATTTGCAGCCTCAAGGAATATTTTTGCAGATTCTTGCTAGTTGAACCTGGCTGTCATTTTGCCTTGCAGTGTTGCACAGTCAGAGCCCTGTGAGGACAGGGCAGCCCAAGGAACAGGGAAACACTGGCACTCCAGAGAGGTTGGGTTCATGTTGCCTCAGACCCCAGTGGTCCAGGATTTGGTGCAACTTGCCAAACCAGGATGGGCAGAAGAGGAAATTGGAGGAACTTGCCAAACCAGGAGCATGTATTTGTGTTTTGGCTTGTGCTAGCTCAGGAGAGTGCCAGGGCTGGCACTGAAGATGCACAATTTGCATCCATTGCAGGGAGCTGTACAACACCCACAGTGGGTTGTCCTTGCCTGCCCTGGCCTTCACTTGGAGCCAAGGAAGAATTTATTTCTGAGCTCTGCATTTGTCTTGTCAGGGAGCTGTGGAGACAGTCCCGAGGCAACTGCATTTTCCACAGTGCTCTTGGGCTTTGGGCAAAAGATCTGCTTGACTGTGACAGCTGTCAACTCACCTTGGTTATGTTGCACCTTACCCCTCTGCCAGAAGAACTGATACATCATCTCAATCCAGTTAGCTCTCAGATAATTCCTGTTGTGTCCAGGCAATCACTGCTTTGTTTGTTCCTAGCTCTCCAATGATGAGGAGATCCACAACGTGGGCACATCTCTGACCTTTGGCTTTGGGACACTGGCATGCTGGATCCAGTCTGCCCTCACCCTCAAGATCAACCTGAAGAACGAGGGGCGGAAAGCTGGGATTCCACGAGTGGCTCTGTCAGCCAGCATCACCCTCTGCGTGGTGCTCTGTATCCTTTTGTCCTGCTCCCCAGGAGGCCAGGTATTGTGTCTGTGCTGCAGCAGCTCTTCTCACACCTGTCCTAGGATCTCAAAGCATTTTGGAATGCTAAGCAGTCTGGCTTCATGGCACAATCCACTGTGTAGAGTGATGCTTCCAGATTTCACAGAAAGGGACAGTTTTGCAGGTGATCTAAATAGAAGGAAGTATTTCAAAGTGTGTATTGAAAGGTGTTCCCATTGCCTGTGGTGGGTGCAGTGATCTGATCCAGTTCCCACTGGGAAGCTCCTGGCAGGTAGGGGCCCCCAGCCAGGTCCCCACTTGCTGGCTCTGTCCCTGGCTAGCTGGATGCTCAAGCAAATCACTGACTTCCCCTCTGTAAATGTTTATCACCCTGATCTAGCATCACATTCACACTCTCCTCATGGTGGCTGGATGGGTGGGCTTATCCAGGTGACTTTGCTCAGATTTTTTTTCCCTATTGGCTTTCAAACTGGTTTGTGTCTCTGTCCCCACTTGTTCTCCTTGACCTTCCTCTTCCAGATTTCATCCTTATGGCCCAGGGCATTCACATGTATGCTTCCAGGATCCAGTGGGGCCTAGTGATGTGCTTCCTGTGCTACTTTGGCACCTTTGCAGTGGAGTTCAGGCATTACAGATTTGAGATAATTTGTTCTGAGTACCAGGAAAACTTTCTGAGCTTTTCTGAAAGCTTATCAGAAGCCTCTGAGTACCAGACAGATCAGGTGTAGCCTGTCCTCTGGCAGGGGGGGAGGGGGGCAGGTGGGGTCTCATGGGTGAAACATGACCTCATTTACACTTTTTTAATGAGTTTCTTTCCATGTGCAATCATGATGGCATTGCCAAAGGGCTCTGAGGGTGGCTGTTTCACTAAGAGCCAAACAAACAGAGGTGTTTGCTGCAAGAGGAGTGGATCCATCTCAATGGCAGCATGAGAGTGCACAAGTGCACCAGTGACTCTTTCTGAGTGGCTCTGTCACACTGCTGTTGCTCAAAACATTCAGCAGCCCCTCTGAGGCTGGTCCTGCTCAGCCCACCCTGCAGAGAAGGAGCTGAAGGAAGCAGACTTCTAACAGCAAGAGTCTTCAGGAGCCACCTGTTCCCGAGTCACCAGACTGCATCTTCCCTGTGTTTCCCGGGTTGTTTTCTGTGCTGCCAGCCGGGGGAGCTTGGGAGGGGGAGCAGCAGCAGCTGTTTCTCCAGAACCTGGAATCAGACGCAGAAGACCCCAGTGGACTGGCTTTCATGGCAAGCAGGCAAAGCAGCCAACGGTAAATCTGGGTTTGGAAGGAGCTGTGCTGTGATCCAGAAGTGAGACATGGCTGGTGGTGCCTTGTGGCCAGGCAGATCGTCCCCAGGCCAGAGGGGTGACACTGGGATGCTGAGCTTGGCTTCCTGGTGGGCACTGCTGGCAGTGAGGTGCTGAATTGAGGTGAGAACATCTGTGTGCCCTGAAGACAACCCAGAAGAGGCTGCTTCTTCCATGTGTAGTGCTTCCACCACACATTGTGTATAGTATTTCAAAAGCTTTTTTAAATTTTTTTTTTCTGTTCACTGAGGGGGAAAACATTGTGTTAGAGACACCAAGCTTGTCTGCCATAAGAACAGTACCAGTGCTTCTGGGCATAGGGTTTGGTTTTGCTCCTTGTGCAAGCCAAACTTCAGATATGCTGGTTTGGGGTTTGGGCTCTGGGCCCCTCAGTGTGGCCAGCTGTCCTGAGTGGAGCCTGCTGCAGGCTTCAATGGGCTTCCAGGGTGCCAGGAGGGAGTTCTGGCACAGAGGCTGGCTGATCTGCCTGAGGGCTGGAGGTACAAGAAGGGAACAGCAAAACCAGAAGGGCTTTTCCCTCCCTAAAGGGAGGTTTCAAACAGAAGGTCTGTTTTCAAAGGAGCTCAAAACCTGATTTTGGGAAGGCTGTTGGGTAAAGGAGTGATGGGAGTTGCTTTTCCCCATGGCTCCTATTTTCCTCCACAAATGAGGCTCAGCTTAGGTTTACATCTAGTCTGAGCTGCAGGAAAACAAGCAGAAATTAAAATGGTAGGAAAAGGCACTTGAAGGGGAACTCGTACTGATCTGTGGCATTTCTGACAGAGAAAAGGCAAAAGGGCATTCAGTCTTCTGCAAAGGTCACAGGCCTCTCCTGAGAGGAGAAACAGTTGAGCCAAACTGTGTGTTAAGTAGAAAGCTTTCAGCCAGCCCTTTCTTTTCTGTGCACCAAAACTTGTTCTCAGGCAGCTGTTACAAACCCAGAGGATTTCTGGCCAACAGAGGGTTGTTGTGGATTGCTGAAGGCTTCCTCCTTGTGGCAGTGTCATGAGTGGAAAGCTTTCCCAGGAGGATGTGCTGAGAGTGGCCAAGGACACAGCAGTGTGAGGTGCCAGCTCCCATGGGGCTCATCCAGGGAGCTCTTCCTGGGCAAGGAAGGAGGGGACAGTCTGGAGAACACGCAGGTGGGATCCTCTTGCACTGGCACACACTCAATCCATATGGAGCACAAAATAGCAATTTGTTGTAAAGGTGTTTTACTGTAAATAGTCCACCGTGTCTCTTTTTCCCTGATTAATTAATACTTTCAGTTTTTTTTATTTTAGCTTTTGTAATTTTATCAAAGAAAAAAAAAAGATTATGTGGTTATTTTCTTTCCTTTTGCTCCTTTTCCTATATGCAATCCAAACTGAATTTCAGGTTTTTAGTGATAATTCTGTACATTTCTTAGAGTATTTCTTACAGCACATTTCAGTACAACTAAATGACAACCAATGTACACTAAAACATGACCACTAAATAAAGTGCTTTTATGGAGAAAGTGAGCTTTATTTTTGTCCCTACCCCAAGCATAGCTTTCTGATGGCAAAGGCAAAACAAAAGGTATTTATTTACAGTGTAATGATTAATATTATCACTTAAGGAAGCCAGGGACCATTCAGCCATGCAGATACACTTACTGTAACAGCACTAATTAGCAGGCTCTTTCTAGGAGCAGCATCACACCCACTGCACAGCCCAGAAAGGCATCTGGACTAGCTGTCCCACAGCCTGACCTGCTACTATTAAATTCTTAGAAGGGCCATGCTGGCACAGTTGGGTTTCCCCCCCAAGTGCTTGTCTCTTCACTGTTCTTTACCCATCAGCCTCCCTCAACAGGGACAGCTGTAGGTATAAATCACAGCTCAGGAAGGCAGCAAGCACATCCTCTATTCTGGCTGGCTGTGAGGGCAAACACCCGTGCATGAAGTGCCAGCAGCAGGGAATGGGGAAACAGGATTTCAGACAGGAGTTTCAGACTGCTCTGACTCCACTGCTACCAAGTATAACCTACCTGTGGCTCTCACTCCTGCACTGAGCCACAGCTGAAATCCTAACATGGCCAGGGAGGTAGTACAGCTTCCTTGGCAGGACAAGGCTGCTGCCTTAAAGAAAGGACTGGGGAAAGTGACAGCAGGAACACAGTGTTCACAGGTTTTGAAATAAAATAATAAAATTTGCCTTCTAGGTGCTGGGATCAGTGGTGCTAAGACAGGAAGGCTAAATGCTGTGATGGAGGGAACACAATGAAAGCAAAGGTGTGTTTTTATTTACTACATTAGGAAAAGCTCCATGACCATCTGATCTACATTGGCACAATTTAGGTAAGGTAAAAAGGTCAGGGGTCTAATTCTCATCAAATGCAGCAGGATGTCTGCCCTCAGGAGCAGTTTGTCAAGGTCTGCTCACAGCTGACCAGTGCTATGAATGTGTGACTGGGTGATCTTGGCTGGAGGAGGAGCTCTGTGGGTCAGTGCTGAGATACTTCAGAAATGCTGTCAAGCTCACTTTGGGCTTCAGACAGTTGTATCCCATAGCCCAGCACCATGATGCAGCAGTGAAGTGTGTTCAGAATTTAATTTTTAAAGCTGTATTTATATATACTTGACTTCATTCTAGGTAGGCTGGCTGTGGAGCTCTAAGCAGCCTCCATATACTACTTGTGCTGTTTTGTACCTAGAGCTGCTGCAGACACAGCCAAGGTACACATTATTCCTTGTCTAAAGAGCCTGCAGCAAGGGCTGGCTTCTTCTGTGGGAGCCTACTGTACTATAGCCCACAGCTGGCATTTCCCTTTGGGAATCCTAACTGTGAATGTTTTTGACTTAGCAGAAATCCTATCTGCAGGGAGAAGCTCACATATCCCCCCATGGTCCCTACTGCTCCCTCTGGGGCAAGGGGACATAAACCTTGTTTGCAGACTGCTTCTAACAATGACAGAGCTCATGGTGGGGCACCTCAGCACCAGATTTCAGGGGATGAGTCTGGAGGAAGCATTCCCTTAGCTAACTGCTAGCCAGGAAAGGGGAGGAACAGCATGGGTGCTGCTCCCTGCCCTGTTCCCAGCTCCAACTGGCAGCCAGCCTCTGTCCTACTGCACCAGAGACCCCACACCATACTCTCCATCCATACCTGCCTGCACGAGGCCCAAGACATAATGTGGATTTGGTTTGAAATTCTGATTATGGACAAAATGACCTAACATTTCACAAGGACAATTAGGTGAAGCACAGTCTTTTGTGCGCACACCGCTTTCCCTAAGTGGAGGAGGGCAAGAACAGTTCGGTGAACGAGGAGATGAGGCTGTAATAGGATTTCTCATCGTCCGTCAGCCCCGCGTTGCCCGGTCTGATCACCACAGCCACGTGAGTGTCCGCCTCCTCGGCTGCATTGGCTTCTGAAACAGACAGAGAGGGGACAGTGGAGGGGACAGCCCTTACTGACCTCTTCACTGCAGGGTCCCTGAGGCTTGAGGGTGCCCCAGAACACCCGAGTGCTTTTAAAGGCTGACACTGAGAAAGCAGCGTTTGCATATGGCAGGGCTCTAGAGAGGAACCAGCTCCTGGCAGACCTGCTGTGGATGGCTGCAGCTGCAGGAATGGAGCTGGCCTCACCATCCCCTCCCCTCTGCCAGCTGATGGCTCTCCAAGGCTCCTTGCAGGCAGCACACACCATCATCCTGACTCCTGCTCCATCAGCTCGATTCCTGTCATGAGGCTGTGGTCAGCCTGTGGCATTTGTGAGTCAAACAGCTCCCTCTCCCAGTCACTTCTCACAAGCTTCTTTTTGCTCCCTGAGCACAAAAGGCCACTGGAAGATGATCCAGGGAAAAGGAGGTAACCACAAGCTGCCACCAGCTCTGCTGCCAAGGCTGGGAAGGAGGTAAGGACTAACTCTGGGGGACTGAGCTGGCTCAGGCAGAGACCCAGTGCTATTTCTGCCAGAAAGATGTTTCCAGCTAAAGCAGGAAATTAAATTAGCTTTTCAAGCCTGGCTTTCCATGGGTCAAGTCTTGGCAACCTGAAGCAATGTTTTCCTGCTGCTGAACAAAACCTAACCATAAAGTGGCACAAAGAATCAGCCACGTAGCAACACAGCAAACACCACCATTTCCCCTGAGCCCCGGCCAAACCACTGACCCTGTTGGTAAATGGGCCGTGCCTCAGCCCTCTCTCCTGCCTGGCTGGTGCAAAGGCAGGCTTTCTACTTGACCTATTTTCCCTCATTGCAGCACTGCACATGGACATCCCACTGCTGTGTGCAAGCCTGGGTGTGTAAAGGAGGAGGATGGCAGCAGCTGGAGGGAAGGTGCTGAAGCATTTCTGGGTGTTTGTGAGAAGGCAGCAGCAGCACACCTCTGAAGAGCACCCGCCTCCCCTGCACAGGTGAGAGGCAGCAGGACTGGCAGGTCACATACCTCGAGGGACATCTGTCAGGAAGAGAATGTTGTTGGTGGCACACCCAATACTGGCAGCAATCCTCCTGTAGCTCTCACTTTCTACCTTGGGGCCTATTTTGGTATCAAAGTGGCCATCAAAGAGCTGAAAGAGAGAGAGAAGCACAGGCCATTGCTGAGTGCCACCTGAAGAGCAGGGATAAATCTCCCTCCCTCCCTTTCTGCCACAGTAATGAGGGGTTGGTGCAGCCATGCTTTCACAGTCAACTCCTTGAGCTGAATTCCCATGGATCAAACCCACTGCCCCACCTTCCTGTCACAGAATTCCTGTCACAAAGTGTTACAGCGAGGGTGGTTGTGGGAAGGGAGTGCTCTGCAGGGGGAGAAGCTGTACGGAAGGTGGTAAGGTTATCTACCTCTAGGATATCACCTTCTGTAGAGTATCCAAACAGAAGCTTCTGGGCTTCAACGCTGCCTGAGGAGTAGATATAGACCTTCATCCCCGCTTCCCGCCACTTCCGGATGGCTGGAACAACGTCCTCGAAGATTCTGGAGCAAAACAGGGCAGCAGGTAAGGTAAGGGCAAACCCTGAGGCACCTGGGGGGACATCATTAGCCAGGCACTGTGACAATTTTGCCCCATTAGTTTGCAAAGGGGACTTCATTTTCAATCTGCCCAGGGCTCCTGGAACCAGGTTTCTTCCAGCAGCAGGTGATGCAGAGCTGGGCAAGGAGATTTTAGAGATCTCACTCCTTGAATGCAGCCAAGCAGGCAGCTTCCCCCACAGTTTTTGGGTCACTGTAAGACAATTTAGCCTTGTTTTTAAAAACAAAGCCAACAGGACATGAGTCTCTCTTGACTTGTTTTTGGATGTATACATTTTTCTGTCAGCTCATTTTCTTCTTCCTCATTTGGCAAAACTTAGTGAATTTATGGGCTTGTTTTACTTAGAGATCTGAAGTGCACAGTTTAACTAAGTATCTCTTAAATAAGAAGATCAGGCTTAATTTCAGTTGTCCCTACTTATGCACTCCTGTGTTGTGGCTGAAACAAAGAGGAACCTGAAGACAAAAAGAAGTGGAAAGGCAGGAAACACACAGGTAAAAGACAAAGCAGGAGGAAACAACTGAAAGGGTCTGACCCTGCAATCCTGGCTTGTTTATACTTGTTCCAAAATATGAGTGCAATTTGGGGATAAAGAATGGAAGACTAAGAAATCTAAGAAGCTCATACTTGTGACTCTTGGTTTACCAAGAAATCTCTCAAACATTGACTTACCTGCTGAGCTAGTGATGCTACTTGTATAACAGTATAACAGTATAACAGTGGGGCTGTTCCCAGGAATAACTTATGTAGCTCTTCTGCTAATAAACTTTAGGGAAGATGCCCCCCAGAGCTGCCCCCAGGAGGGGGCACACAACTACTCACACAATTACTCACTCTCCTTTGACGTGCCCGGTGGCATAGGCTGCCCTCCACATGTGGCCCTGCAGCTGCTTCAGTGCCGTGGTTTTCCTGTCCAGGGACATCTGCCAGTGCACGTTGTCCACCACGGCCTGGATGACGCGCTCCAGCTCCTCCTCCCCGCTGCCGCTCTCCAAAGGGATGGGCACGGCCCCGTCCAGGCTGGAGTCCTCCTGAGCCTGCACAGTGGTGTCAGAGCACAGTGCTGACAGTGCCAAGGCTGTGGGGCTCAGCCCTGCACGGGCTGTTCACTAAAGAGCTGGGCTTGCTGATCCCTGCAGGTCCCCTCCAACTCAGACTATTCTGTGATTCTGTGCAATCATCCGTGATAGAAAGAGGGCAGGGAAGAGATGGAGCCATTTCCACACCTCTAATGTAGGAAAGTGATCTAACAGATCTAACATCTGCATCCATGCACTGCTGTACAGGACACTGCACTTCACAGGAGGGGTTACAACATTGTCTGCTTTTCTCAATGGAAAATTGAAACTCCAGTTGTGTTTAGAAATACTTGCTTGGACTGTACTTTCCAAACCAACCAATTAGCATCACTGTAGTCGTATTGTAAATACTCTAATGAGAACTATGCTTGTTTAAGTATTTAATTACTATAATTAAGGCAAAGAAGCAAATGCATCTGTTGGCATCAGCCACAAGTCTCAAATTGATGATGCTGTGTCCCTGTACAGAGGCAGCATCCACTGCTCTGTGTGGAACAAGTGCTCTGCCTTCCCTGTGCTGCTTCCCAAAAGAGGTTTGGATTCAAGAAGTGCAGGCAAAAAGCTGGAAAGTCTTGGCTCAACAGCTGCCCAGGGGCTGTGAGGACCAAGGTGAGCTGAGGGAAGCTGCTGCCTACCAAGCCCAACCCCAGGCTCTGGATGGGGGAGAATCCAACCTTCAAGGCAACTGGCCTCCATGGATGAGGGCAGAGAGACAGGGACAAATGTGGGGTGACCAGGATGGTCCAAGTGACCCAAAGCCTCAGGCATGCAATGCAAATGCAGAGACAGGGATGACTCTGTTACTTAACCTGTTTCCTCAGCAGTCCCACATCCCGCTGGCACTCCTCCTCCTCCCAGTGAGCACGCAGGTACTCCTTCACGTTGTCTTTGATGTAAGGGAACAAGGTCTCCTGGCAGAAAAAGAGGCTGCTCCTTTAAGCTGGCAGAGGTAAGGCTGACTGGCTTTTAAAGGAACCGTTCGCATGTCCTGCCCTGTACAGTTACACTCCCAAATTTAAGCTTCCCCTACAATGCTGCAGCTGGTGAAAATTCCTGCCAAGGGGGTCTGCCTGGTCACAGGACTGAGCCAGCCTCAGGCCAGGATCAGTGCAGGTGGATTTTTTTACACAAATATTTACGTAGCTGAAACTTTTAAAGCCTGCAATGGAAAGGTGGGTGACAACTTTTCCTGGGCTTGCAAAAAAATATGTCTCAAATGGCACCTGTGACCCCACATTCCCACAAGGCTGACAATGTATGTACTCTGAACAGGTAAATTATGCTATTGTATTCTTGATGGGGCACTTATCCTAGCAAAGGTCATTCTGAAAACAGGTCTCAACCTGTCCCCAAAACTAGAGGAACTTTTAAAATGAAAAGTCTGGTCCGGTGACACTGAGCTCCACAGGAGGACAGTCTTGCAAATGAAATTAAACGGGGTTTGGGAAAAGCAGCACAGGAAAATGACAAACCTTCACAGAGATCCCAAGGGCAATCAGAAATAATTACAAATTGCACTCATTAGTGGTGTTTCACGAGTCAGGAGCCACAAGCCGCTACCGTGCACATTCTGGGTGTGTGAAAAGCCTCAGGTTAAGGAGAAGGGCAGGGAAATCCTTCCTTTGGGTAGAGAACTGAGCTTTTCTTAATTTCTTAATTTTATTAACCTGAACTCACCTCTCCTCAAAAAATGGCCCTAGGTATGTCATCTTTAGCTTATTAATGAATTAAGAAAGCAGTGGTCCTGAGATTATGATGTGATGGCAGAACTGCAGGATTTGCTATTGCTCTAATACTGTATTTTCCATGTTTTATATTTTAAAAACAATGCAGATTGCTTTAAGAATTACCACAAACTTGCCTAGGGAAATCAAAAGCCTAGTAATGCCCCCAGTTAATCTCTCATTTCCTTTACTTTGAAGCTATCTTTTAAATCATGGAGGAAATTAAAGAGAATCCACTGGGAAATGCAGCTGACCTGCTGGCTTGGTTTAACCTCCTTTACAACTCAAATGTCAAAAGGAGCCAATTGTTTTTCAAAAGCAGCATTTCATGCTCTTGTGCTGGCTAAGAAAAACTCCCAAACTGACAGAAAGATCAGTGGATTCTCTGATTTGTGAGATTTTAAAAGGGTAAAAGTCTTGGCAAATGCATAGGTCTGTGGACTAAGAGGGGACACCCACATGACAGCTGGAATAGTGGACAGCTCAGTGGGACAGATGGTTTGTGGATGCCAAGAGTGATCCCAGTCAATGATGTGTCAAGTTTAATAGGACATGAGTCTGTGTAGAAGAAAGACTCCAAATACTCTCTTTTCTGGTATCTTTCCTTAATCCACCCATCAACTGACCCATTCTATTCCCTTACTTTGCAGATTCAGTCATTCTAACACTAGAGAGAGGATTAAATAAAATCGTTTAATATTGAAGAATAAAGTGTCCACTGAACCATCAGTGGACCTTTCAAAGGCAGATAGAGGTTAACTGAAAGCCCAAATGAACTAACTTGTTCCAAGCATTTTCAGGATTTCCATCAAACTGAATTTTACTGGGAATCAAAACCCATTTGGCCTCCCTGGAGCAGAAAGACTTTGGGTGGAAATCCAGAGTCTCAGGTGTATGGCATGTTGTTTGCACACAACTGCAAAACGGCTTTGAGGTGAACATGAACAACTTAGCTGCTCCGTTAGATGTTCAGTAAGAAACCTGAGCTGTCCAAACTTACTGAACTGACACACATTGAGGGGAAGGAGGCAGCTGTAATGCCACCTAGGCCTGAAGTTTCTTCAAGAGCACTGGAAGAACATGGATGTAGGTCAGGCTGTTCATCTGTTAGACTGTGTTAGCAGAAGCCTCTAGAAAGGCAGACAGGGGCCTTCACCTGCCATGGGGGTCACAAAGCACCGTTTTAAGCCACTGGCTGCAAAAACCACTGAAAGCTGTCATGTCTCAGGGAGAAATCCAGGTTAATGAAGGGCAGGAGAAGGGATCCATCCAAGCAAGCCGCTCCCTCCTGTTAACCAAAGCCGCCCGCAGAGGAGGGACCCCGGCTATCACAATTTGCGGTTCTCCAAGCGCCTGTGACCCACAGGCTTCCCAGTGCCCTCGGTTCTGTACCTAAAGCAGCATTTCCAGCAGCCTGAAGCTCTTTCCTAGGCAAGGGAAGGCACTCGTGCATTGGCTGCCGCTTCGGTCCCGGTGTGTCCCCGGCGCTGCCCTGCGGCAGGGCTGGACACGCTGCCCCGGCACACCGGGGGCGTTCGGCCGCACCAGCCTCCCGAAGCGAAAAGGCAGCGGATAACCCCAGAATTATCGATTACTGCAAACTGCTAATTACCGAAATTAAGGCCAAGAAGCATCGTACTTCAGCGAGCCCGCACTTGAGGCTCTCTGCAGAGCCGGGTGCGGTGCTGCAGCTCCAGCCATCAAAGGACAGCGATGCTCGAGGGCTTTTCCGGGGTGAGGCTGCGAGCACCCCAGCTGCCCTATATCCACCAGTGAAACAAACCCCTGACCTGCCCGAACCTCCGAGCACCCCAGCTGCCCTATATCCACCAGCGAAACAAACCCCTGACCTGCCCGAACCTCCGAGCACCCCAGCTGCCCTATATCCACCAGTGAAACAACCCCCTGCCCTGCCCGACCCTCCGCGGCAATGTCCTGCTCCCCAGCTCACCGCAGGGCGGCCGCTCGCCAACAACACAAGGCGTATTTTCTCGCGAGCATTATTCAGAAAAACGCGGAAAACGGGTCACGGCTTTCGTTCCCGGGGGCACCCCGGCCTGCCTTGAGGCGAGCTCAGGGCCGGGGAGGTCACGGTACGAAGGGCGACGCTCCGGGAGCCCCCCGCGACGCCAGGGCTGGGGGGTCACGACAGGAGCGGCGATGCTACCGGAGCCCCCGCGGGGCCGGCGGCCACCGGGTCTCACCTGGACGAAGGCGATGGGGGTGGTGGTGCCCTCGATGTCCAGCAGGATGGCGCGCACCTCCGCCGGCACCGGCAGCACGCCCATGGCGGCGGCGGCGGCGGCGGCACGTGGGGCGCACCGGGGACGCGCGGCGGCGGCGGGGAGCGCCGCGCCGGCTGTGCCCGCCCACGGAGCGCCCGCCCCGCCCCTCCCCGCCGGCGGCGGCGGAACGGGGTTTCTGGGTTACGCGTCACAACCCACCGCCGGCCGGCCCGCTGAGCCCGGCACCCGCCCGTAGCGCGGTCCCCGGTGCGGCGGTGCCCGTGCCCGCCTGGAGCCGCGGCACCGGCCCGGCCCAGCCCGCGCGATGGCGGCCGCGGGGCGGCTGCTGCAGCCCCGCCGCGAGCCGCCGGGGGCGCTGCGGCGCCGGGCGGGAGGGCGGCGCTGATTGGCTGCCGGGGCGGCTATATAAAAGAGGCGCAGGCGGTGCCCGGATCTCTTCCGCCGCCATTTTCTGCCGGGCGCAGGTCTCCGCTGTCTCCGCCGCTCGCACGAGCACCCCCGCCGCCCTCGCCCCGCCATGGAGGACGCGACCGAGATGAGCGGCGGCCAGGAGGAGTTCGCCGAGGGCTCCAAGATCAACGCGAGCAAGAACCAGCAGGACGACGGGTATGGCCGGGGACGTGGTGGGGGGGGGAGGTGCGGGGGAGTCGCGCGTCCATGTCCGCCGTCCGCCCTGCGGCTCGGGGGGGCGGCTCGAGGCCGGGGGGAGCGCGGCATTCCCTTCCCGCTCCATGGCCGCGCCCGCCTTTGTGTCCCGGGCGGTGACCCAGTTTCCGCGGGGCGGGGACACGGACGGGGGGGCCGAGCGGGGCCCTGACGTCAGCGGCGGCCTGTGGGGCCCGGGGGGGCTCTGCCGGCGCTCTCACCCGAACCCGTACGCGTTCCCTGCCCTCCAGGAAAATGTTCATCGGAGGCCTCAGCTGGGACACCAGCAAGAAGGACCTGACGGAGTATCTCTCGCGCTTTGGCGAGGTTGTGGATTGCACGATCAAAACAGACCCGGTCACTGGAAGGTCGAGGGGGTTTGGGTTCGTGCTCTTCAAGGATGCTGCCAGCGTGGAGAAGGTGCGTGCTTTTCCTGCGGACCCAGGGCACGAAGCCAGCTGGTGTGGCTGTGGCGGTCTGAGACTTTGTTCCTTTGTCTGCTTTTTAGGTGTTGGAACTGAAGGAACACAAACTGGACGGCAAGTTAATAGATCCTAAAAGGGCAAAAGCGCTGAAAGGGAAGGAGCCACCCAAAAAAGTGTTTGTTGGTGGGCTGAGTCCAGATACTTCTGAAGAACAGATTAAGGAGTACTTTGGTGCTTTTGGCGAGGTATAGTATACTATATAAGAAAATTTCTAATTCTCAAGTGTAGTCTTGCCTCTCTTACGAAAGAATTTGTGAGGAGGGACTTGGTCAAAACTAGAGATAGTTGAATCTATATGTTAATGATTTCATAAAACTGTAATGGTCTGATTTATAGCTGTCAAAAGTAGTCTGTAGATTCTGCACTGCCAGATAGTTTTGGTGGCATAAAAGGTTGCTTTCAGATTTCATGCATTGTTTGTATTCATTTTGATTTCAGATTGAAAACATTGAACTTCCCATGGACACAAAGACAAATGAAAGGAGAGGCTTCTGTTTTATCACATACACAGACGAAGAGCCAGTAAAGAAGTTACTAGAGAGCAGATACCACCAGATTGGTTCAGGCAAGGTAGGACAACTCTTGTTCTTGGAATGTGAAATCTATCTCTGTAGGCTTCTGTGAAAGAAACTCACAGAATGCTCTTGGAATTCTTAGTAAGTTAAAGGATTTCTCTCCTTACAGTGTGAAATCAAAGTAGCACAGCCCAAAGAGGTGTACAGGCAGCAGCAGCAGCAGCAGAAAGGAGGGAAAAGCAATTCTTCTGGTGGACGTGGAGGCGGAAGGGGGCGTGGACGGGGTGAGTATTTTCTGTGGCTCTGTTAATCTAAGCACTGACCAAACAGTCTGGTGTTTGTAGATATTCCAGGTTGCAAGTTGTGTGCAGATCTCATTTAAATCAAATATGTAAAGTAGCCCATGAGTAAGTGGTGTTTTGGTGGTTATGGTTGCTTGTTGAAGCTGAGGAATCTCTTCTTGATCTGCTTGCATTCAAGTGGTGAAGGGGCAGGGTGGATGTAGGGTATTTCTGTGCACCCTTTGTGGTCAGTGTAGCCAGCACAGTTACACTTTCACTTCAGAGGGATTCACTTAATTGGCCCAGGGCAGGAAACTAGGAGCTGTTTGCTAAGGCGTGGGGTGGCCACTTCGCTACACCTTCAAACGGATCAGAAGGGAACAGCTGGTACATTGAGGTTAATGCATCTCAGTCCTTCAAGGTCAGCAGACACAACTCACACCATGCTGCAAGGCTCATCCTGTGGTGTCACTTGGTGCTCAGGCAATTACTGATTATTCTCATATCAAAGAAGTTAGATGAAAGGGCACAGGAGAGGAGTGAAACAAGTTTTGAAACTTAGAGTTGCTATGCTTGGTTTCAGGTCAGGGACAAAACTGGAACCAAGGATTTAATAACTATTATGATCAAGGCTACGGGAATTACAATAGCGCTTACAGTGACCAGAGCTACAGTGGCTATGGAGGCTACGACTACTCTGGGTACAACTATCACAGCTACGGATACGGGCCGGGATACACAGATTACAGTGGTAAGTGCCTTTGCCCTCATTCCCATAACAAGAGCAACGCTGCTCTTGGTCAGCCCATGGCTCTGAAGATGGGATCCCTTGGTGTGCTGCTGTGGGGGCAGTCTCCCTCTGAGGCTGGTGCTAACGCCTGTGGGTTCTGTTTTTCCCCACATGCTCCCTGCAGGCCAACAGAGCACGTATGGGAAGGCGTCCCGTGGCGGCGGCAACCACCAAAACAACTACCAGCCCTACTAAGGCAGTACCTAGTACCTGACAAACAGGTGTGTACAGGAGCGCACGCTCCACTCCGACCGTGCCTAATCTAATTTAAAGATCAATAGACAAACGAAGAGTAAAAACTTGCCTAGCATGACTTTTCCTTTAATTAAGCTTTTGTTAACTTAAAAAATACTTTTTTTTTAAAACCAGCTTTGCCTACGTGTCTATAGATCTTTAACTTTGTAAAAGCGTGACTTTATCTTCTTTAGTACTTCAGAAAAACATAAGAGTTTTTCTGGTTTGCGTTGTGTACCAGGTGATCTAGAGGAATAATTAAACTTATTAGAAGTATTAACAGGTAAAGTACTGAAATGGGTACAACTTAAGGAAAACAAGAATGTTGTCTTCTAACTCTGACATTATACCTTGTTTGTACCCGCCAGCGGGAACTTCATTGCAGGCCGTGTGTCACCCTGACCACGTCTATCTCTGGGGTCGCACGTTGCAGGCAGAGCGCAAGGCATACACCAGAAAACGCTGTCCTGTGGTATGGTCTCTTCCAACTTCATGTACCAGCGTAAAGATTAAAGTGGAAAACTTCAGACTTTGGCTTCTTTTTTTAATCTTTTTTGGAGATTAAGTGTCTTTAACTTAAATGGTTTTTTACAGGAGTTAAAGTACATAAATGCCTTTACAGCTTAATCATTTGGTCTTCTGTTTAGTGTTGTATTTCAATTGTGGAACCTCATTTTAAATGTGCATTCTTTAAGATTTTAATGCTTGCTTTTTTCTTTTTATAGCTAATAGTGAAATCTGCAAACCAAAACGAACTTTTAAATCTGGATAAACATTAAAGATCATATGCATATGGACTGTCTGAACTAAAGTGACCTGACTTGTGTTGCACATAAGTCGTTTAGTTGTATAAGCAAATAATCAGAAAGCCTTTTGGCAATGTTTCCAATGGAAAAGAAAGTGATCCAGAGCCTGCTTGCTTGTCTAAATTGAATGGTTGCTGTTTTGGAGCAGCATCCTACATGGGCTGGATATTTGGGAAAGTAAATTACTAATGGGTAACTAAACAAACCTCTTGTGTTACCGTAATAAATATGCATATGATCTTTAACAGTGAAGAAAGGAATATATAGAAGACTTAAAGCAGTTCATGAAAATGGACCTTTTAACAATCCTGTAGTAACTGTCACAGATCTGACATGCATTTTGTCTTGATTTTTTAGGTAGAGATACTGCGACAAAAAGCCATCTTGCAACGCATCGCGAGTGAATGGAGGGTGGTCTTCACGAGAGGAAATGACTATTTTGTAAAAGACTCTTAGTGAACGACACAACTGTGTCCAACTGTACATAGCGGCCGACTAGTTTTCTTTTATGGTTTTTACTTTCTTTTTGCCATTCATGTTATGACACAATGTGGACTTGTGTTTATACAAACTTTATTTGTATAATTTCATGTTAAAAGATTCTCTAATAAATGCTTACTTAAGTGAGTGTGGAGTCTTGCTGTCACCTTAAAGTGGTGTAACTATAGTTCTACTTGGATAGAAGGCCAGCTCTCTCTGGAGATCAAGGTTACTGTGAGAACAGGTCTATATGCCCCCTTCTTTCTCCTTGGAATTCGCATCACTGTGGGAAGATGGCAGAGCAGAGTCGTGTCTTGCCCTCTGCAGCAGCAAGGAGAGAATGGTCTGTGGCACAATGCTGCCAGTTTTGTACATCTCAGGAGAGATCTAGAACTATAGCAGCACCTTTTCAATGCTGATGGCACTGCTTGAGGAGTTGGAACTTTTCAAGGCTTCTCAAGCACTTAAAACCTCAAGTATTCTAGAATGTAGCTTAGTTACTTTCCCACACCACTTCTATTCCAATTCCAAGCAGGAGATTATAAATTCTTGAACTTTGGGACCAGCAACTATTTTCTGTACAAGTTAGGTGCTGTACTGGACTCTTCTCACCTTCAGAAAACAGGTTTCCCATCTAGTGCACACTAGCAAGCAACAACTAAAAGCCTGAATGCTGGAGAAGGAACACTGCATTAGCCCAGCACATTTCTGGTTTAGAGTGGTTGGGATGGGTAAAGGAGCGTGTTTTGTCTGAGGCAAAAGGATTGCAGCAGTCTGCCTGAAGATTGGATGTTTCTCAGCACAAATACCTAGTCAAGCATCAAAATAAACCTTGCTTGTTAAAACTCA